AGAGTGAAAAAAATCAATATATGGTTTGTTACAATAAATGATGTTATTAATGCTAAGACTACGAAAAATAGGAATGTCAGGGTGTCCGAGTCAATTGTTTCAAGTAGCGGATGAGAGGCCGGTAAAGTTGGTGAGATGTGAATTGGTATTGGAGAGGAGGGCACACACTGGATACAAATCACCTTGACTATTACACTGCATAAGCGGGGTTCTCCTAAGAAGACCCTTCACAGAAAAACCAAGTGGATAAAATTCAATGGACATGTGGTTATGAGTAGTGAATTTTTGTAGAGTAATTACATTGTTAATAATATGTGGGGTGTGTAGGACATTAAGGAGCTTATGTGGGGTAAAGGAAGAGGAGAAAGAGGTGTAGTTGTGACCTGTAACGTGAATGCATGGATGAACCATTTCCAACCATGATACTGCCTTTAGAGGTTGTATTAATAAATAGACGAGAGAGTACCTAAGTCTGACGTGATGTAAGTGGTAGCCCCGGTGTCCATGTATCAACTATCATCGGACGGGTTGAGTGTCATGGTGTTCATGGAGGCATGAATTTTGGAGGGAACCTAACTGGCCGTAGGGGACTGACATAGTCCAATAGTTAGTACTTGCGGACGGGGATCCAGAATGCCGACATATGGTGAGCGTGTAGATGGAGTGGCGTCTGGTGTAGTGGGGAATGGACACGGGGGGGGGGGGGGGGGGACAGTAGGGTCACATCCACGCATCCCATGGAGGAACTGGCCGTGTAGTTTGGGTAGGGTGTTGTGACCACATGCTTGGCCAAATTGACGTCCTCCAGATTGTCGGCCACGTCCTTTGATGTGACCAGACCTGTGGCGGGTGGCCCCACGTCCACATGAGCCTCCCTAAGAAGGAGGTGTAGAAGAATCCGGACGATGGGAAGCTGTGAGAGCAGATCCAGAAGAAGATGAAGTGGTGATCAGTTGATGGGATCGATGAGACTCCTCCAAAAGCATCATAGATCTAGCCCGTTCGAAGGAAGGTAATGGATGAGTTTGTTGAATGAAGGAGGCCACAGTTTCATAAGACTCAATAAGCTCATGAATCATGCATAAAACCAAAAGTTTATTATTGAGCGTCAACATTAATTAGTTGAGTAGAGATGGTTCGGAGGGCTTGCTAGAAGGCGGAGATGGATGGGAAATTCTTAGAGGTGAGATAATTGATCTTAGAGGTGGAGGGCGCGAGAATTTTCATTGTCATGGAAGATGTCGACTAGGTGATCCCAAATAGCCATAGCAATGGAGCCGAGTTCAAGAATAGTGTGTGACAAATCATGGGATATTGTGTTGTAGATCCATTGGAGAACAACGACTCTTGACGATGCAAGAGGGCAGCGTCATCAGTAGTGGAAACAGATGTGGCATCGGTGGTGTCTTCGCTGGATGGGATGATGTGATCAAGAACATCATAGGTATGAGCGATGAGTTTGAAAAGCTTCACCCAAAAAGAGTATTGGACCTTTCCTGTATCAAGAGTGAGAGGAATAAAATTTTTAATAGAGGTGACAGTGAGAGCAGGGTTGAAGGGATTTTTAGAGGGTGAAACCATGGTGGAGAGGATTAAAAATCTTGATACCAAGTTAGAAGACAATAACAAGTTGAAAGAGTTATCATGCCATGCATGACCATGTATGCATCATCTTACTATCATCTTACGTAGAACATTATTGTCTTCATCCTCTAAAAATTCCTTTCACCCGACCCTCACAGTCACCTCTATTAAAAATTTAATTTTTTTCACTCTTGATACCAAAAAGGTCCAATACTCTTCTTGGGCAGAGCTTTTCAAACTCACCGCTCGTGCCTATGATGTTCTTGATCACATCATCCCATCTGACGAAGACACCACATATGCCACATCTGTTTTCGTTATTGATGATGTCGCCCTCTGGCACCGTCTTGATTCTGTTATTCTCCAATGGATCTATGACACAATATCCTATGATTTCTTACACACCATTCTGAAGCCCGACTCCACCGCTAAGGTTGTTTGATATCGCCTATCCAACATCTTTCATAACAACAAAAATTCAAGTGCCCTCCACCTTGAAGAACAATTCTCTCATACCAGGATAGATAATTTCCCATCCATCTCCGCCTACTGTCAAGCCCTATGAACCATTTCTACTCAAATGGAAAATGTTGACGCTCTGATTAATAATAAACGTTTTGTTTTACGCATTATTCATTGGTTTACCGAGTCTTATAAAAATGTTGACTTCTGCATCCAACAAACTTATTCATTACCTTCCTTTGATTGGGCTAGATCCATGCTGCTTTTGGAGGAATCTCGCTGATCCCAATAACTGACACAATTGACCACCACTTCATCTTCTTCCGGATCTGCTCTCACGGCTTCCCATCATCTGACTTCTAGTGCACCTCCTTCGTCAGAAGGCTCATGAGCACGTAGGGCCAGCTGCCACATCTCTGTTCGTGGCAAAGGACGTTGCCGATAATCTGGTGGACGTCAATTTGACCAGGCATTTGGGTCACAGCACCATACCCGAACTCCATGGCCACTTCCTTCATGGACTGTCTGGATTCCACCCTACTGGTCCACCCTCGTGTCCTTACCCTACTACAACAGACGCCTCTTCATCTACATGCTCGCCATCTGTCGGCATTCTAGGCTCCCGTTCGCAAACACTAACTTTTGGACCCGAACAGTCGCCTACGACCAACTATCTTCCCTCCGACATTTATGCCTTCATGAACACCATGACACTCAACCCGCCTGATGATAGTTGGTACATGGACATCGGGGCTACCTCTCACATGACGTCGGACTCAGGTACTCTCCCATTTATTTTTCAATACGACTTGTAAAGGTAGTATTGTGGTTTGAAATGATTCATCCATTCTTGTATAGGTCACGAGCACAAATCTTTCTCATGTCTTTTCCCCCTACTTAAACAACTTTATGTCATACACACCTCACATATTATTAAAAAAAATTGTTTGAATATTCACTACTGATAACCATGTGTCCATTGATGGTTAAGCATTTCGAATGTCAATATCTTATTCATAATTGTATTCCCTTGGACTTATGTTGTCAATAAGTAAGTGGGAGCTTATATGATATAACATAAGGTCCTAAAATAGCCCCAATCAATGATCATCAAGAATGGGATATTGATGATATGTGATATGATTGATATGTGGACTGCATCATACTTTTAGAAAGTATAGTTGATCTCACAACTATGAGTTCTTGCAATTCATGATGGTCACATAGATATTTTAGAGAATATTGGCATACCCACCGAGAAACCATTTGATAAGTTCTATTCCTGTGTCTATGGGATTATCGGCATATAGAGTAGTGTAATAGTTCTCCGACTTGATGTCAATACGTACTACATGTGCGGAGTGATGTACTTTGACCATGATCAACGCTTGCACTCCAATCGGGGTAAATACGACATGTGTTGGGTGCATCATGAAGCACATGGAGTAGTAGTTGAGCCGAGAAAGGATTCATCTAATATTCACCCCCTTTGAAATCATACCAGTGACATGTGAACTTCTCCAATTTTAAATCCCACTTGTCTTTTTTTTACCCCGAAAGGCCAATCACCAAAATCAGTGGGGTAAATGCTGGGGGACATTTACCGAGATTTTATTAATACGAGATTACAGAAGCATAATATTACAGAAGGGGGACTAGGCCAAAACCTTCCCAAAAAATACATCAAACCAAAAATCTGATAGATAGAAGACCAAAAAGGTCCTTTTTGAAAGCCCGTTTAGCAGCTATTGGAAGACTACCCACTTCCAAAAATAATTCCAATTGGGTCACCATATTAGAAGCCAACGCATGCGCGACCCAGTTACCTTCACGCAAGGAGTGGACGAGAGAAATTGAAGCTCTGTCTCTGAATAACAAGCTTTCCTTAATCTCTTTCCACCATTTTCGCCCATCCGGATCCAACAAGTATGAAATCGCCATCTTAGAATCAGTTTCCACCTGAAATTTGTTGTAACCCTCTTTAATTGCCCATCCAACAACAAAAAGAATGGATTTAATTTCAGCCTCAAGAGAAGATGAAGCTGTCAAAGGGAACCGAAGGGCGAATGACATCCTCCCTTGTTGATTGTGCATAACCGCACCACCAGAAGCCCGGTCAGGTAAGAAAGCTGCATCTGTATTTTAAATCCCACTTGCCACCCGTATAATACTCTTTTTCTAGATTTTTTTTTCAATTGTTTTGTGAATTTATCATCTCAATCGCAAATGTGATGCGTTTTCTACATTCATGCAATTTTACACGTTTGTGCAAACTCAATTTCAAATAACCTCCTTCACCCATCAGCAGCTGCCCCTGCAGATCCAGCCACCGTCGCACCTTATCCGGCATCTGCTGCTGCAAATCCGACTTACTCAGTTGCAGATCTGGCCGTTTCCATCGTGAATGCCAAGATTCTTATCAGAATGCCATCTTAATGGCATTTTCAAAGGAAAAAATAATTTTTTGAAGACAAGGAATGCCATTTTGATGGCAATTTCAGAGTTTAACTTGGCATTTTGTAACAATCAAAGAAGAAACGGAGCATTGGGAAGAAGAATACCATCTCCGACAACGGTAACGATGGATTTCACGATGTTGGCTGTGGACTTCACTACAGGGGCGGCGAAGGGGAATGAGAGAAGATGAGCAAGTGAGGGCAGAGGTGGACTTCACGACTGGGCTTCTAGGTTTGTTGTTCCTGTGCAAAGGGGAAGGAGAGAAGATGAGCAGGTGAGGGAGAAGAACGTGTGCATGAGAGGATGAAGAGTGATGCACATGGAAGGAGATGGATCGATGATGTGTGCAGGGAAATCAAAGAAGAGGAAGAAATTAAGGGTGAATGGGTAATCTAGTCCTATATGATAAATAAAAATATACATAGTCCCATTTAAGAATTTCAGGAACAATTTAGTCCTATTCAAGGCAATAAGTCTATATAAAAGAACAAACTGACCTAAACAATTAAATTTGACCTCTAATATCCTCTCTTCATCAATTCAGCGATGTTGTGATCGTGAGTCCCCACTATAAAGCCTGCATGCAATTCAGCAATAAGTTAGCTATAACTCTCTAAATACGACAATACATACGTATGTTATAATATACTTAGAACCTAATTATTATATCAGTATACACTCATTGGGGTCCGTTAAAACTTAGTAGTCTTGGCCAATGATTACAAACTTGATTTGACCAATAATTTCAGTTAATATGTCAAAATTGGGAAATTTGCAATTTTCATTCCGTAACTTATGGTCGTTTTCATTATTAGTCCCACAACTTTAGTCACTTGCAAATTTGGTCTTATAACTAATTAATATTTGTGATTTAAGGACTTTCCCCTGAAAAGTACATTTCCCGCCAATAGTATATAAGAAAAGATGTACTTTCCAGCATCGAATTTTTCTTCCAGAAAATGTACTTTCCTGTGAAAAAGTCCCTCAATTGCAAAGATTTATTAGTTACAGGACCAAATTTGCAATGATTAAAGGTACATGATCAATAACGATAACAGTCCAAAGTTACGGTACTAAAATTACAAATCTCCAGTCAAAATTTAACATTTGACCAAGAAAATTAAATTAAAGGTGATAAAGTCTTAAAAAATGAGAGGGATTACATGATAGTTAACAAAACATGAAAACAAATAATAAATATACTCTGAATTAGTTACTTTTTTGTTTTCAAAACCTAATTAAAAGAGATAATGTAGCATATATGACTACTTTATTCAAATATTACTTTTGTGTGTTTTGTTTCCGGGATGATATTTACCTTTTTTGGAATAATATTCTAAACCTAGTATATTATTTGTTCATGTTAATGCGAATATCCTTGATTGGGATGTGACTCGAACTTGTGACATCCTCTTTGGAAGATGAGCAGTGATGTCATCATACCACAAAGATACATTCAATAAGGAACCTCAAAGATACATTCACTATCAATAAGGAATTAGAAAGATAAAATGTGACGATAGAGGACTCAAATGATTGAAAAATGTCAATCAAAGGCCAAAAATTTCATGAATTTTAATATTTGTATATTTTTAAAAATTAAATATAATTAATCTTATTATGCAAATAAACTTTTGTGAAGAAATAATCATGTAAAGCGTACAAAGGGTTTACCATAAAATTAAATAAATCAAAATTAATGATATTTTATGTGTTGGATTGATAGTTTTCAATCATTCAGGCTCTATATTGTCACACTTCAAATTGATAGTGAATGTATCATTTAAGTCATGAATTGATAAAATTCGTAAATAAATAAGAAGATTATTAACCAAAGAAGGTCAAAACCAAGAAATATGATGGTTGTATAATATAATGAATATATTTATATAGGGGTGAGATCACATACAAACTAGTCCTCTCATGCTAACCTACAAACTGTCACAAACTGTGCATCTTTACATTATTTGTATTGCATATTGAAGGTCAAAGTGTTGCATATTATTTGTATTACATATTGAAGTTCAAAGTGTTGCAGATTATTTGTATTGCATAGTGAAGTTCACAGTGTGCATCGTTACATTATTTGGATTGCATATTGAAGTTGAAAGTGTGGCATATTATTTAGTTTGTAGGTTAGTATTTTAAGCATGATTTGTATTTGATCTCTTAATATATATATATATATATATATATATATATATATACACCAAGGAAAATAGCAAGGAAAGACGAGCGGCGTAGGGTTTGCTCCAGCGATGTCGGAGCCTTCATGGGGACGGCGGCGGCTTGGGCTGCTCCGGCAGGTGAGCCGGGAGCAGCGGTACGGTCTTTTTCTGAAGTCTTAGCGGCCAATAAAGACATCCCTCTTAAGTCCCCGTTTCGGCATCGAGGTATGCCCGCGATCAGATTCTCTGAAGAGGAGATCGTCACTCTGGCGTCTCAACCTAAATATGCGCTTGTGGGTTCCTTTGTGAGGGGGCGACCAACTATGATTACTCTACGCCAGGAGTTTGAGAAAATCGGATTTGGTGGGGGCTTTACATTAGTCCTACTTGATCAAAGGCATATCTTGATCAAGTTTTACCTTGAGGAGGATTTCCAGAGATGCTGGCTTCGTCAGACGTGGAGCATTCGAGGCTTTCGTATGAGGATTACCCGTTGGACTCTGGATTTCCGGCCAGATGTGGACTCCCCAATTGTACCAGTTTGAACTACCCTTGATGGTTTGCCTGTGCACCTTCATGACAAGCGTGCTTTGTTCTCTATTGCTGGGATGATAGGGAAGCCCTTAAAGGTAGACGCGACTACGACAAATTTGTCTGAGCCCTCTACCGCTAAGGTGTATGTGGAACTTGATTTGTTGCAGGAAATTCCTACGAAGATCTTAATTATGCATGGTTCCAAGGAACTTATTCAAATAGTTACCTATGAAGATCTGCCTCACTATTGCATGAAATGTAACCGGTTGGGTCATGCAAAGGAAGTTTGTGGAATACCTAAACCTAAGACGGTGGGGGGAACAAAAACCACTATGCCCCATGCTGGCAAACATGCGGATGTCAAGGCCCTGGACCAATGGATTCAAGTGGTGGGCAAAAACAAAGGTAAAGGAAAGTTAGTCATAGACGAGAAGGTTGTTGAATCTTCCAAGAGGAGGGACATAGACATGTCTATTGTTATCCCGGAGAAAAGACTATCTGCTCAAGTGGATACAGGAGAGGATCCTCCACCTAAAGATGTCCCTCACGCTTTAGAAGTTGTGGAAGAGCCTACGGTGGCCCAAGAAGAGCTTGTTCCAGAGGCCACGGTGGCACAGGAAGAGCTCGTTCCAGTGCTGCCAAATGATACTTCTGAAATTCCTACACCGGGGGTCAGTGGAGTAGAGGTATTAGAGCAAGATCCAAAGGCTAGTGCGGGAGTAAAAGAGACATTGGTGGGGGCAATGCAAACCGCTACGGATGTAACCAAATTAATTTCATTCGAGGAGGGCAGTTCTCATATGGAGGGGGAAGTGGGTAATATCATGGAGGGCATTGTTTCGGATGGCGGAAAAAAGATTTGGAAAACATAACTCTAGCTGCGTGGAAATCTGTTTGCAGGGAATTGTCTCAGAAGGTTGCATTAATGGAAAACGAACAGACGAGAGCTTTGGATGTGGTTCCCAGGAGAAAAATCAAGGAAGTTCCTCCTCGATCGGTCACTACTCGTTTGGCGGCCAAGAGGAACAACAGGGATGGATCCTTGGAAGTCTCCTTATGAAGCTCCTCACGTGGAATGTGTGTGGCCTTGCTTCTGCATGACCAAGGCTACGTGAAATTGTTAGGCAGCATTATATCAATTTTATTTCTATTATTAAGCCTATGGTTGATCCCTCTAATGGGTTACTATATGCAAATAACATTGGGTTTTCTAATGTTTTCTCGTCGGTTTAAAATGAGATTTCGGTGATGTGGAATCCTAGTAGTTTTGATGTGGCTTCGATCGTTGATAATGACTAGTTCCTAGTAGTAAAAATGAGATTCATCCCTTTGGATTTCAGCTTTACTTTTTCTCCGGTGTATGGAAAACATACTCGGTTGGAGAGGGCTCAAATGTGGGATCGATTGGTCAGGCAAACAAGGAGTGAAGCGTGGGTTCTTGGTGGAGATTTCAACATTGTTTCTTCCTTTGCGGAATATAAGGGGCCTTCTCACCCGCCCATGGGGGGATATGGCAGACTTCAGAGATTGTATTGATGAATGTGAACTCTTACAGGTACCCACGACTGGGTCTACGTACACATGGACAGGGGTACGGTTTAATGGGAGATTGTGGGAAAGGCTTGACCGTTACTTTGTTAATCTCAGTTTTTTGGAGACCTTTGAAAATGTCAACATTCATCACTTGAGCAAGGCTTCGTCAGACCACTGCCCAATTTTGCTTATATGCGATTCTGCGAATGTAAGAAATCCATCTCAATTTCGCTTCCAAAATATGTGGTTTACGAATGACTATTTTCTTACTTTTGTAAGTCAGAAGTGGACCAACTATCCTATGATGGGAGGTATGAGAGGGATGTGTGCTAAGTCGAAAGCTTTAAAGGAGGATTTAAAGATCTGGAACAAGGAAACTTTTGGGGACATTTTTGGGGAAGTTAAAAGACTAGAGAAGGACAATTTTGGGGAAGCGCTTGAAGCTGAGAAATTTTTTGAGGACAACCCGTCGGACGAAACTAGAGCTGTTTGCCATAGGCAGCAAGCTTTGTTGTTGAAAAGAACTAAGCAACAGGATATCTATTGGAAGAAAAAAGCCAACATTAAGTGGATAAGGGAGGGGAACATGAATTCCAGTTTTTTTCACGCTTCTATCAAGGATAAAAACCGCAGGCAATTCATTAGAGCTATTAAATTGGCAAACGGGGAGTGGGCGTATGACTCTCAGGCGATTGGGCAAGAGGCGGTTAATTTTTTTACTCAACTCTATGATTTTGAGGAAACATCAAATTTTGATTTTGTGCGAAGTCACATTCCGCAGCTGATTTCGGAGGATGACAATTCTTTCCTAACCCATTTACCTGATGAAAAGGAAGTAAGGGATATGATTTGGGGGCTTAATACTGATGCGGCCCCGAGTCCGGATGGTTTTGGCGGTAGCTTCTATAGGGGGTGTTGGGACATCATAAAAAAGGATGTCATCATGGCAGTTTATGATTTCCTAATGGGGTTTCCTATTCCTAAAGGTGTAGGGAGTGTGAACATGGTCCTTATCCCTAAAAAGAAAAACCCTATGCCTTTTGGGGGACTTCAGACATATTTGTGTGTCAAATTTTCTTAGTAAAATAAACACAAGAATTATTGCTAATCGCATGTCTTCCCTGCTGCCTAATATAATTTCGGGGGAACAGTCCGGATTTATGAAGGGCAAAGAAATACAATATCAGATATTAACAGCCTTTGAGATGTTACACAATCTAGACAGAAAGGTACGTGGTTCAAATATGGTTAGTAAACTCGACATGGCTAAGGCGTTTGATAGGGTAGCTTGGAATTTCTTGGATGCCATTTTGAGAAATTTCGGCTTCTCGGATCACACAAGGAAAGTTATCATGGGTAATCTGCAAGCTACCTATATCTCCGCTATTGTTTATTATTATTATGTTGGAGGCGTTTTCTAGAGGGTACAACAGTCTAATTAGAAGTGGGGACATTGGTGCCTTCAACATTGGTCGAGCTATGAGTATTTCACACCTAGCTTTTGCGGATGATTTGATGATTTCCCTTAATGGAACATCTAAATCTATCACTAATTTCAATAACTTCCTACACTCCTATCAGCAGGCCTCGGGACAGTTAGTAAATAAAGAAAAAAGTTGCTTTGTCGTCGGGAAACATACAACTGCAGGCCGGTTAGCCCACATTGAGCATATACTTGGTATGAAAGTGTCTAAGCTACCAATGAAATACTTAGGGGTGCAGCTCCATAAAGGAATCACCCGTTTGAGCCATTGCAAAGATGTTAGGATAATGGGCTTACGAGAATAATAATAATTAAGTGTGATAGTGTAATAGAGGGTCCTGGGCTTGGTAGTAGTTGGCCTTGGCTGGCCCATTAGAAATAGAATAAATAAGGGTGAGTGGTGAGTAGATGGGGGGGGGCAGAACTTGGGACCAGGACTGGGATATTGGGAGTGAGAGACCACTCGAAGAGTCTCAAACCTTTCCTTTCGTGACTTTCTGTATTCCTTCACTGAATTTTCATTAATAAACTACTACTTTCTTCTTGGGTTCTTCAATTACTTATCATTGGTATCAGAGCCTCCTTCCTGGAGCCTGAATCGATCGTCAGTTTCAACGACAGTTGAAGAAGAAGATGGACAATAACGACAGTCAGTGGAAGGAGTTGCGCTATATGCTGTGCAAACTTCGTCACCGTCAGAGGCGACATAGAGACAGAGCTAGGAGTCCACCTAGACACCGTCGGCCAATCGAAAATCAGGTGTTTCCGTCCGTCGCTCCTCCTACTTCGCAATCGCGAACTGCTTCGCGTAGTTCGCAGACACCTTCGCTAGCGCAGGTCTCTTCACAGTCGCTAGCTGATTCTACCGGTCCGCAGATGTCTTCGCAAGCCTCTTCAGCTTCGTCGCGAACAACATCTTCCAGTCAACAAGTTTCTTCGCAAATAGATCTCCCTTGTTCGCAGGTCTCTTCATCTACTAGGCCCAGGACCCTCTATTACACTATCACACTTAATTATTATTATTATTATTCTCGTAAGCCCATTATCCTAACAAAAGATCTTATCCAGGTGTTGGATACTAGATTAAATTCCTGGAAACAAAAATTACTGTCTCAAGGAGGGAGATTAATTCTTATTAAGCACATGCTTAATGCCATCCCCCTGCATGTGCAGGCAGTGACTGTTATTCTAGCCTCTGTGGTGAGTATTATCAACAAGAAAATTGCTAATTTCTTTTGGGGGATCAAAGACAATAAGCCTAAGCATCATTGGGTCTCATATAGAAGACTCTGCAGACCTACGGATGCTGGGGGAATGGGCATCAGGTCACTAAAAGACACTCAAAAAGTAGCTGCCCTCAAACTTTGGTGGGAATATCAGCAGGGGGGTCGATGTGGGCTTCTTTATTGAAGAGAAAATATGGCAGCAGGTCTTTGGGTGAGGTTAAGCCTCTTGATTCTCCAACTTGGAGAAGAATATGCCAGATTCAGGATGTAACGGAACCTATGGTTGATAGAGGTGCTACCTCCATAAAATGGAACCACACCACTAGTGGAGATTTTACCTCCATTTCAGCATACAGGCCCTCTGGCCAGGTAGGGGGAGGACTTTATCTAATACTAACATTTGGCACCCGAATCAAGTTACAAAGATAAAAAATTATCTTTGGAGATTGTGGCACAAGGGTCTACTCTTCCCGGAGCAAATGGCGACTTTTGCAGCAGTGTATCCTTCTAGGTGCCCTTTTTGTAAATCTGAGACGCCTTCGCAGGATCATGTGCTGGCTGGCTGCCAGCTCGCTAAGGACATTTGATCTCACTTTGATATGCATGTGCATATTACAGGAAGACATACAACCCAAATCAAATCACAAATCATGAAATGGTGGATCTCAAGTAAAGGAAGATCGATGGATGCTACCTCTCTGGTGGTGACACCGGGGGTGATAACGTGGCACATATGGAAAGTTTAATGGGATGTCAACCGGAACGATGTGGTCCCTGACATCAATCGGACCATCTCCCAAATTCGAAAATTTATTCTTAGCTGGTGTTATGCAAATGAGAAGCTTAGAGGTAATGAACTTTTGAAGAAGGTGGGAGTTTTACCTGTCAATTTCTTAGTAAAGAAGCCTAAGAAGGGACAGTGGCTTAAACCGGCGATTGGGAGTTACATGTTGAGCTGGGCGGTCTTTAGGTAGAGTGGCAAAATGGCGGCAGGATTCTTGTTAAGGGATCATGCAGGTGCGGCGGTGGCTGATGAAGGGCTTCCGCTGAGTGGTTCGTCGGAGAGGGAAAATGAAGAATCTGCAATTTTCCGACATGCTATTGAGTGGGCGAAGACTTATGTTCTTCCGGATATACAGGTGGAAGTGGAAGTGTGTGGAGAGGAGCTTTTGGGGCGGTGCTTAAATATTGTGGCTCATGTTTCTTAGATCTCTTGCCTTGGGCTTATTCCGGCCCAAGCTAACAAGGCTGCTGATTTAATCGCGTAAATGGGCCTTCATTCCTATTTCAAAAGGCGGGTGGGTGATACATTACCCAATAATCTCACAGGAGCTATTTATTTAGATTCTATAGCTTTTCCTTTTGTGTTTTGATCTGCTGATTAGATTTTCTTGTGGTTTTGAGAAGTTTTGGCCTAGTCCCCTTCTCTGTTTGTAATCTTCTTGCATCGTTTTTATAAAAATTCTGGCAGTTGACCCCTGGCATCTGCTCCACTGATTTTGGTGGTTTGTCTTCCGGGGTAATATTTATATATATATATATATATATATATATATATATATATAGAGAGAGAGAGAGAGAGAGAGAGAGAGAATAAAGATCAAACGAGAAGAGTGCTTAACGTGAGAACACCACATTTACCCCATCGTGTTGCACAATGAAGCTTGTATATTGCACTTTTTCGCGTTTTCACAATATTTACCAAAGCACCACCGTGTTTATGTAATATAGGCTTAATTCGAGCAAATTGAAAACGTGCAACAGGAGAGCTCCATTGTGCATTGCAGTGATTTAAATGTGAGTGTTCTCACGTTCTCACGTTAAGCATCATTCTCATTGGAACCGCGCGCACACACACACACATATACACACACACATTCATATTTTGGCAAAGAGGATGTATTTGAATTAGGTATAAGTAAAATTCCCATGTGTATGTGTGAACTAAGGTATAGATATTTACCAATCATAAACAGTGGGAGAGTTGGAATTCTTAGGCTTGTCGAAGACATCAGCACCAATGGACTTCGTAGCGAGGTTGCTGCCGGGGTGGAAAACGCTCCTCCACACGTTGTCTTTACGCGATGCCGTTGGGGATGGTGTAGTTGGTGTCGTCGGACCAACAGGGCTGCCCGACATCGCCCCCTTTTGGTATATGCTGCTGGATCCTTCCCCCACCCCACCATGATCTGTACATAACGCGACATACATTGGATCCTTTTCTTAGCCAACAATGATTATCAATTTTGACCAATGATAATTTTAATTGCTGTAGTAATTATTTTGAATATAAAAATTATATCCAAATGTTCCTTATTATAAAATTTTACAAAAATATACTCCGCAAAATTTATAAATTATAAACACATATAATAAGGAGACAATAATTGAAATCATTATCTAAAATTTGTCATCATTAATCAAGAAAAGTCCTTTTTGGGATGGAAGTAGTATATCTTTTAGTATAAAAAACATGGTGATCATGTTTTACTCCTAGCTGGCGCTAACCTCCCCTAGCCCCCTTAAAATTTTAGGATTAAATTCTAGTGGAAAATAATTAGATTGAATTTGGATATGATTAGAAAAGTTAAAAACAATTACATGAATATGACTAAAATAAGATGATTTTAATATTCAAAATCGGATAATAATGAGTAGCATCCAGCGGAGCAAGAGTGTCCGGTTGACATTTGAAAGTTCAAACATGTTGATTCCTCAAATTCTTTTGATTTGATATATATAACATCACTCATGTAACTCATTACGAGTAACAAATTGTAACTCCTAGAAAAACAACATAATCCAAACTTGAAGTTAGGCATCATTACCAAAAAACTTCGGTATAGACACGGAAATTGGGCTCGGAAAATCACCCAATCAGGGTTGGCTCAAATTTTGGCTCGAAAACGTTGAAACGCGGTACTGTGACAGATTTGGGTTGGAAAACCCCCATCCAAAACGGGGAATTTAATTTTCCGAGACAAATTCCGCGCCAATTCCAAAAAATTAGAAAAGAAGTTCGCCGGCTAGGTACTCCGTCCCAAAAACTGTCACAATTTGCGTTGGAACAATTTCCGTGCCAAAATCAAGAACAAATTTATTTTGGTTTGGCTCAGACTATTCCTTGCCAAAGCTTACCGAGCCAAAATCCTAGTCAATTGTTGAACCAAAAATTAGTCGTTGCACTTCTGTGACAACCGCGAGCTAAATTCCGTGCCAAAAAAGTGTCTGCTAGGTGCGTCGAATTTTTCTCGAGCCAAATGTTGAGTCAAAAAATAGCCGTTGTGTATCCGAGCCAAAATCCGTTCCAAAAAATAGTCGTTTGCTTCTTTTGAAATTTTTCCGAGCCAAATGTTGATTCAAAAATAGCCGTTACATTTCAATTCCGAGCCAAAACCGAGCCAAAGGCCGTGCCAAAATATAGTCGTTTTGATTCATTGAATTTTTTCTGAGTCAAATAATATGCCAAAAGATAGCCGTTACATTTCCGAACCAAATGTCATGCCAAAATCATCTATATATACACCTAGTCTTTGTAAAATAAATTACATCTTACAAAATTATACTTTCATTCCGTACTTCCTTGTGTCTTACTCGAGAGCTATTTTTAGTGATGAATTCTCGATGGAAGTTGAAAATTATATTATAGCTATTGGCTGTATGGAGATTTTGTATTTATTTAGATTTCTTAAAAATGGTATCGCCGTTTTATCTGGTATGCAAATTTCTTTATTAGTGCTTTTAAATTAATTTAATCCGTATTATTGATTTATTATTATGTTTGTCTTAATAATATCAATGGTATGTTAGTTATATGTTTTAATTAAAAACTTTACTAGTGTACTTTTAATTTGGCTCATATAAATATTTATTAGATTCTTTTTAATATTTAGGCACAACGAATAGAGAAATTAGAAGTTAGATGTATAACCCGCATGTTGAAAATGGTAGAGGATTGATGAGCTAGAATTTGTGCTTCATTTTTATATTACTTTATTACAATTCTATGCTTATTATTTGCCTAATTGAGAGGCTTGAGTTATATTTTGTGTTAAAAATGACTTTTACAGATGAGGATTTTATTTGAAGGAGATGAGGACTTTTGGACCGATTGTGGGCTTTTACTTGTCTAAGGGACTGCTGAAAAATTAAAAGGAAAATGAGCCAATAATTTTAAACAAATAGACTCCTGCCCAGCAACAAGGAAAAGATGGTGACTCCTCTTAAGTTACGTACCATCAACCCAAAACAAAAGAAAAAAAGCCCAAGAACAAAAGAAGAGCTGGAGAGGGTTTAGGGGTTTGGTCTATCATATTCGGTCAGCTCCATCCAGGCAGCAGGTTTAGGAGGGAGTCTGGCGGCGAAATTGAGAACCGAAGCCGGAAGAGGAGAATAAGCCGGACTCGCAGCGAAGAGTGAAGAGCCGAGGTCTGAGAGACGGAGGCTGCTGAGCCACTCTACCTTGAACAAGGAGGAAGAGCCGAGTGCCGAAGGAGAAGGGGAACAGACTACGCACAGTTCTTCTGGTTTTCAGGCTGCAAAATTCTGGAGGAAGAAGGAATCATTTACCGCTCCATAAAATTGATGGTTTGAATCAGCCACAATCCCTCATGTTCTTGATTTGTACTCTATTTAATTATTTTAGTATTGGCACAATTCTTTGATTTCTTTATTGTTAAGATGAACGCTTTATTTCCTACTGTTTTACTAGTTTTCTATTTCAGTATGAGTAGCTAAATTCTAAAGTCCCGGATTATGATGAAGTTGTTATGATTTAGTATAAATTGTGATTTTAGTGATGTCAATTGGTTGAGTTTTATCCATTGATCTAATTTGCTTAATTGATGATGTTAATTTCTGGCCAACTTTAATATGATTAATTAAGTTGTTTGAGTGGATTAACAGAGTACATGCCATGCCTATTAGTTCGAGCTCTTTTGGATAAAAGAATAGATAATTTAGCTGTCTTGTTAGGTTATCTATTTGGTTCTTAAATCGGGTTTCCGTAGTTCTTTTGTGACTAATGGATTTTAACTATTGAACTAATTATTTCTAATTGATTAATAGTTAAAATACGTGACTTATTCTGGACGCCATACGGAATAGTCATATTTTTTGTCTAGAACGAACCCTCAATTTCAGTTGATTAACTAAATCACAAATACTAAAAATTAGTGACAGAATCATAATCCTGGACTATCTTTTCTTTTTGCTTAATTTTCAATCGTTTTTCCGTTAGTTTTTTAATCACTTTATTTTTATTCATTTAAATTCCTTGCATTCTTTTTAATTTTAGCTCTACATTTTCGGTTTCAAATCAAAACATTCTCAAAACTCTTTTTAGTTAAATTTAATTCCATTTTTTTTATTAATAGTTTTCCAATTACTTAGTTGCATTTTCCCTGTGGATTCGACCCTTACTTGAGCACTATACTACCGTGACTCGTGCACTTGCGAGGACTTATAAATTGTCTATCAATTTTTGGCGCCGTTGCCGGGGAATTTGTTTAACTAGTTTTTGGAAAATTGTTAGTTTAGTTTTATTTTAGTTAGTTGTGTCTGTTTTTCTTTTTTTTCGTTTTTTTGTTGTATGCTTGGTCGCAGGTCTCTTAATCCAGATTTGATATCGCTGAACGACCAAGTAGATTTAATTGGCAAAAGAACAAAAAGGAGGCTCGAATTTGCTCCTAATTCAACAATGGGTGACGCTACACTGATGAAAGAGTTTGGGAGGCCAACTGTTGGTGCCTCCCCGTCCTGCATTGTACTGAGTGAGGCTGCCCGGAATTATGATCTGAAGACAATTCACTTTAACCAATTGCCGTCTTTCCATGGGCTTGCTTCTGAGGATGCGCTGATCTTCATCCGAGATTTCTATGGCATCATCCAGAATTTTCCCTTGCAAGGAGTGGCTGAAGATGAGCTGAGGATGAGGTGCTTTCCTTACACTTTAAAAGATGCTGCGAAGACATGGTTTATGTCTTTAACACCTGGTTCGTTGCGCACATGGGCTGATGTCTACAACAAGTTTATTGGCAAGTATTATTCTCAGGCTAAAACTTCAGAACTGAGAAGAAAAATTGCCAATTTCACTCAAGCTGAAGGTGAGCCATTCCATGAGGCGTGGGAGAGATTTAAAATGCTGCTCACTCAATGTCCACACCACGGCTATTCACTAGCGCTCCAGAATCAGACTTTCTATGACGGGTTGACCCAAGGAAGCCAGGCAATCGTTGATAACGCAGCTGGTGGAGCAATGGGAGAGAAGACTGCAGAGCAAACCTTAGAACTATACGAGATGCTTGGAGCTAACTCCCAACAGAGGAGCGTTCGTGGGAAGACTCAAGGAATGTACAAAGTTGGTGCAAGTACAGAATTGGCAATCCAAATATCCGAGCTATCCAAGCAAATGAAGAATATGTGTTCTATGATGGCGATGAATCAATCTGCCGCTATAGTGAATGAAATGCCTGAGGCTAGTCTTGAACAAGCTAATATGATGAATTCATACAATCAGAGGCCAAGAAACGATCCATTCTCCAATTCCTACAACCCCGGTTGGAGGAATCATCCTAACTTCTCATGGTCAAATACGCAACAAAGCAACCAGCCACCTCCTGAACCAAAGAAGCCATCTTTGGAGGACACTTTGCAGAACTTTATGCAAATTTGTAGTAGCAACCAGCAAGCTAATGAGCAGCGTTTTCAGCGCACTGATGCCTCTTTGAGGAAGCTAGAAGTACAAGTTGGGCAGATTGCAGAATCTCTCCAAGGACACGTACAAGGGAAGCTACCAAGTCAATCTGAAGAGGCCAAAGCAGTCACGGTGCTTAGGAGTGGGAAGATAATTCAGAAAAACGAAGATCAACCCATTCTCAAGCTACTGGAGAATGTAGAGGCTGAGAAGAAGAAAGAAGTAGAAGCTGAAAAGAAGAAAGAAGTGGAGGCCGATTCGGTGTACGAAGAGTCCGGGCTGCACAAAGCAAAAGATCCGTATATTCCGCCTAAACCATATGTGCCACCGGCTCCTTTTCCAAACAGGTTAAAAAGTTCCAAGTTTGATAAATCTTTTGATGATATTTATGATTTGTTGTCCAAAGTTAATGTAAACTTGCCTCTTCTTGAAATGATAACTAATATGCCTGCCTACGCTAAATTTTTGAAAGAATTAAACACTAGAAGGCGTAGG